TGTGGAGTCTCCTTCTCTGGAGATATTCCAGCCCCGCCTGGACGTGGTGCTGTGCAGCCTGCTCTGGGTGACCCTGCTTGGGCAGGGGTTGGGCTGGGTGACCCACAGAGGGCCCTGCCAACCCCTACCAGTCTGTGATTCTGTGAGATATAGATATATATATATGTGTGTGCGTGTGTGCATATATGTATGTATAAAAAAAAGTATATATACACGCCCCCGAACAGACACAGCTGTGTCTGTGTGTACACGCACGCTAACGGAGGTGGCTGTGTCTGTCACTGTGCCCGTTAATGTGTGGGGGTCTATGCATACACAGGGTGTCTGTTACTCTGTGTGTATACACACACATAGGGGTGTCCGTGTATGTGCACGCGTGTGATGTGTGTTTGTATGAACAGCGGTGTCTGTTAACATGTGGGGGTGTATGTGTGTATATATACACAGGGTGTCTGTTACTCTGTGTGTATATATACACACACACGCATAGGGGTGTCTATTAATGTATGGAGGTGTATGTATACACGGGGTGTCTGTTACTCTGTGTGTATATATACACATGTGTAGGGGTGCCAATGTGTGTGGGGGTGTATGTGTATGTATACACAGGGGTGTCTTACTCTGTGTGTATATACACACATGCATAGCGGTGTCAATGTATGGAGGTGTATGTATACACGGGGTTTCTGTTACTCTGTGTGTATATATACACACACGTGTAGGGGTGTCTGTTAACATGTGGGGGTGCATATGTGTGCATATATGTGGGGTGTCTGTTACTCTGTGTGTATATACACACACACATGCACAGGGGTGTCAACATGTGGGGGTGTATGTGTATACACAGGGGTGTCTGTTACTCTATATATACACACATGTAAAGGAGTGTCTGTTAACGTGTGGGGCTGTGTATGTGTATATATACACAGGGTGTCTGTTACTCTGTGTGTATACATACACGTGTAGGGGTGTCTGTTAACGTGTGGGGGTGCATGTGTATATATATATGTGGGGTGTCTTACTCTGTGTGTATATACACACACATGCACAGGGGTGTCAACATGTGGGGGTGTGTATGTGTATACACAGGGGTGTCTGTTACTCTGTGTGTATACATACACACATGTGTAAGGGTGTCTGTTAATGTGTGGGGATGTATATACACGGGGTGTCTGTTACTCTGTGTGTATATATACACACATGTGTAGGGGTGTCTGTTAACGTGTGGGGGTGCATATGTGTATGTATACGTGGGGTGTCTTACTCTGTGTGTGCACATACACACACACGTCTATGTCTCTACGTACATACACACAGAGCAGCGTCAGTGCACGTGCGCACGGCGTGATGTTTGTGTATGTATGCACACACCCAGGTTGTTTGTTGGGGGGGTGTATTTATATACACAGAGGGGTGCCTTACTCTGTGTGTACAGGCAGGGGTGTCTGCGTGTAGAGATACACACACAGACACACAGACACACTCCTCTGTCCGCACACACACACGCACACTGACAGACTTCCCTGGGTATTACAGATGTGTGTGTGTACATATATATATATATTTATTTTTTTTTAACAACCCCAGTGGGGGTCAGACCCCCCCAGTCATCCCTGCTGCTGCCACGCAGCCCCGGCCAGG